CAGAAATTCCAAAAGATTGTACAGAAAATCTATTAGAATTAAATTGGCATCTTAAAGGTTGCTGGATATATGATAATATACAAATATCAATGGATTTGTACATGGGAGAAAAATATAATTTGACATTGAAAAATTTTAAAGCCAGAATTATTTACAAAAGCATCAAACATAAAAATAATCCAGTGAAAATGCTCAACCCCTCCCAAAAATATATATATTTTGAGAGTTATAAAAGAAAGCCTAAATAAACACCATATTCTTGGAATGGTACACTTGATACTGCTAAAGTGTAAATTCTTTTCAAGTTCATGTCTAGATTTAATGAAATCCTAATCAGAAGCCCTGGCGGGTTTAGTTTTTGTGGAAGCTAACAGATTTTAAAGTTTCTATGAAAATATAAAGAACCATCAGTAGCCCCCCAAAAAATTAAAAAGTCACAAGAACAAATTTGAGAAACCTACATAGCAGATATCAATCCTCATTACAAAACTCAAAGAATTAAGCTAGTGCAGCATTGGTGCAGGAAGAGAAAAATCAACCAACAAAATAAAGATCCCAAGAAACAGACCCACATACAAATGGTCACCTAGTTTATGATGATCGTGCCACTGAAGTACTTGGAAAAAGAACAGTATTTCAATGAATGGTACTGGGAAAATCAGGTTCGACTCTCATAGCTGGGCTATCTAATTATGTCAGCGGCTCACTGACAGTCTCGTGAACCTACTGTAAGTTAGCTCATTCTGCTGAGATGGACACTCTTGAGACCTCCCCACCACACAGACTTCAGACAAGGGCAAACTGACCCATCTTCATTACCTTTCTCTAGCTTGTTCCTAGGTTCTTTATTTCTGGGAGTGGTTCAAAATACCAAAGCAAAAAGTCTAAAAACAGTATGTTTTTGTCTTTCAGTGATCTTTTTCTCTTCTGGAGAAATTATATTCTATCTGTAAAATAGATCAGACTGAATTTTCTCAAAACTGAAGGCAGTAATTCAATATGGGATTGATCCTAGGGACTTCATCAGCTTAGCTTCTAGGTTGACCTAAAGAATTTTTTCTCAAAGCTTTGAAACCCAACTCTAAAGTAGCGTTTCCTTGACTATATTTATTCATATCCAAAGTTTCCTGAAATTAGGATGAAACACATGAACCAAACTAAAAAACAATTAATAATTTATATAAATTTACATAAAAGAATATATATATATATACACTATTTACACACACAACTACATATATATGTCTACATATCTTTGCCCCTTTCTAAATATGAGTATGTTTTGATATTACTTATCCAGGAGGAACTTCACTTTATATTTGGTAATTTTCACTCTAAATATCTTCCAAAAAACTACGTACCATGTTAGAACATAGAAAGTTCTCATAGACACAGAAGACAGCCCACTGCTGCTAAGCAATGATATTGCCAAGACATATAAAGTAAAACATGAAATATCAGAACTAGCAGAAGCAGTTGTGGTCCATTCATACACCAAACAGTACCATGATTCAGATACTAAACAGGTCTCTCTGGAAATCCCTGGTTAGCTTGCAAGAGCATCTCTCTGATTTCCATATATATGAAATTCAGTTAGAAACTGCAGGAACACAGGTCACGAATGTGTGTGAAAAGCAACATGGCACCACAATGCTGCCATGCATGAATGAAAGGCTACGCGTGTTCAGGGCAGCCTGGACTCCACGTGTGAACACAGCTTAGTGTTTAAATTGTACAGAAGTATGCAGTAAAGAAGCACACGCATGAAAGTATAATGCCATGGAAAAGAATGCTTTTATGTAATTAATTCTAATCTTTTTCCCCCCTCCATTCTCTTCCTCTAGAAAAGCTGTTAATAGATCAGTGATTGATCAAGAGAACAATAAAGATTTGCAAAGGTTTTCTATAGGAAGGCCTTGAAAGCCCCAGTAGCAGAGCTAGAATTCTACCAGGCCCATTTTCACCACCAGTGGAGCAATCTCCTTTGCCGCCCGGACAGAAACACCTCCGGCGCCCACATCCACACTCAGGAAGTGGAGGGGTGGGGACATGCAGAAGGAGACTGCTCGCCAGTTCCTGGCTCTTCACCTTTATCTCGGGACTGGCCCAGCATTAGGAGGCATCTACAGTTTAAGCATTTTCCTGTATGTCACATGTGGCTCTCTCACAGAAACCATGCCTGCCCTGTCTACCCAGTGGGTCATGGCAAGACCCTAATGAGAGCATATACGAGAAGGTCTTCTCCAAACTGTTAGCTCTTTATAAGTACAAATTTTTTTCAGTGTCATCAGAAGAATATGATGATTTATAACACCAAATATTGACACCTAACTCTCATTTTTTTTTTTTTTTTGGTATGGCTGGGGACAAAACCCAGGGCCTCATGCATGCTAGGCAAGTGCTATACCACTGAACTACACTCCCAGAGCACCGAACTCATCTTAAAATGTAAACGCCATATAATACCGTGGAACAAACTTAAGAAAAATAAAATGCAAAGAATATCTTGTGTTGCGTGGACTTAGCGTAGACTTGAGTCATTGATCTCACTCTATCCAACCTATGTGTTGCCTCTCAGCTTTCTGAGTAAAGTGTCAAGTATTTCCCTGAGCTTACTAAAAGCACCATCTACTCAAGTAGCTACTTTTAAAAAACTTACCTGGTCCAGTTACTGCTTATTAGTCAAATAAACTTGTTTTTGTGGGGTCCACAGCAAAGGCTGATTGTTCACCTCCCCGAGTCAAGTGACTGCCTTTCATATCAGGGGTCCAGTGCAACACTTCTGCTGTTCACTGAGTGTATTACTCAGCACTTAAAATCCCGATGCCCTGTTTCCATGAGGCCAACTATTTTGCAAAACAAACCTTTGTTAAATTAAAGGAATCTATCAAATGCTACAAATTTTACTTCAACACAGATTAGACAAATAACTTTCTTTACAAGCTTGGAAAAAGATTCTCAGCCAAGACACCTCAAGATGGTACAGATGGGGAGCTCAAACCTCCCCCCAGAAGGAGCCTGCAGTGAAATCTGGAGGCCTCTGAAGGACGCTGGGGACAGCAGGAGGCCTGGGCTCCTAGCCCACAGATAAGAAATCTCCTGGCCATCCTGGAGGCCTTCAAAAGCATGAAATTCTCTCAATTCTCCAAGTATTTCCCTTCTCCTGTGCACAAAAATTAAACACATCCAGTCACCAAATGCTTTCATTCTAGACAGCAAAACAGGACAGCTCACTGCTTTGATAGGGAGCCACCGGAGGCTGGGGCCATGCAGGATTTTGTTTTCCAAATTCACTGCTGGCCTCAAGGAAGTATGTCGCCACCATCTTGGGCCCAAGGCAGCTGTTCTGCTTTGGCTGGAGTTCAGTATAAGCCTCAAAGATTCTGTTGGCTCTGTCCTTTAAAAAAAAAAAAAAAAAAAAAAAAAAAAAACCTCCACAGTCACTAAACTTCCAACCTAATATTTTTACTACACTGCTTTTCCCTCAGGACAGAGAAAATCATGTATTCTAAAGAAACTTCTGAGCCAAAAAAAGTACCAGTATGTTACTCCTACCAGAGGAAGATAATGGAATAAATAATTCGGCAGATTGAAAACTCAATGCTAAAGCACTGCCAAAGAATCAATATTGGAGAGAATACCAATTCTCTCCAAAGTATCAAAAGACAAATATCTAGCAATAAATGATTTGCTTTCCAGAAGAAGCCTTCTCTACAGGAAAACCATTGAATATACTTTTATTTAAGAGTGAAAATCAGACATCAATTTCTTGGACTGAAAATTTAGTGCATTCCAAAGATACCACGATAGCTGTATTTCACTCATGGTGTGTTCCCAGGCCCCGGCATTGCCCTACTTTCTTCTACTCCCTTACAGACCAGCTTGCAGAAGGAACACACACACTGGTGACGTCTTCAGAAGCATACTCAGCCTTTCATAGCCAAATTCGGCAATTTCATAGCCAAACACACAAATTTGCATACTTGTGGCAGAACCATATTCAGCTCCGTAGATTCAGAAGAAACCAAAGTTGTTCCTAAACCCTCACAAATTCTTACAAAGTCAAAAGACTTCCAAGACCAAAGCCAAGAATCAGGACTTAGTTTACAGAACCAAAGGTGATGGAATTCCCCAGAGTCCACATGAGTGGGGTTCCCTCCTCCATCCATTCTTTTAATTCTAATCTTTGTGTCTACCATAAAGCTGTCATATCACTGACTTAATCTCTACCTCAGCACAGTGATGCCAATCTACCCGCAGATTAAATGGGGCTCCACAATCATTCACAGTCTTGTCTTCTTTTCTGTATACTGTAGGTTTGAACTAACTGCTATAACCTCTGTCCCTTTGCCCTTCTAATCCTCCAAATTCTTTACTGCTAGGCAGCTGCCCCAGAAACATACTTGATTACAGCCTTTTAAAATGGCTCGGACCATTTTAGAAAATAATAATAGAGACACATGGAAATTGCTCTATCATTCCCTTGCAACCAAATGGTAAAAATATATTGCATACACACACACACACACACACACACACACACACACGTACTCACTCAAAGATAAACGTGTGCATATATTATATGCACAAATTCATAGTCTTAGAGTCATCTGAATTAGTATTGCTTATGAGCATCATGGTATAATTTTAATTTGTGAATTGGTTTTAGCTACCCTCACCCAACATTCAAAGTAAGGACCAAACAATAGCAGGAAAACTTTCATCCCCAGTAAATTATAAAGCTGTCTGATCACAAAGGATGCTTCGTACATACCGCTCACTGGCTTGCACAGGAAAAAAAAAAACTATTTGCAAAGTCAACTTCACAGCCAAAAGATCTTGCCAGCTAACCACTGCCCTTTCAGCCACCCATCTCGTCACATTCACAGCTGCCCCGGAGCTTCATGTCACCTTCCACAGACACACGCAAGGTCACGTGACGCCAGAGGGTGGGAAATGGGGCCAGCCCCGCATTTTGGGGCTTCCTCAAGCCTTCATACCTGTGCTGATGCTCCTGTAAGACTTGATAAATGCTGATAAGAAAAGTTTGGTTTTTAAAACTCCCCACAACACAGTCCTTGTAGATGCGGAATTCAGCAGCCGTCACCGCCTCACCCTCAGGAATCTGGGATAAGTTGAACTTGAACTCTTTGTGGTGTCGCTGGCGAGGGGAGAACTCCTTGTCGTACTCCACTATAGGATTAAACAAGAGAGAGTGACAGCTATTGTTACTTGACTAAGTGCCACAGGCTTACCTCAGCTCCCCGTTTCACTTTACCAATTACCAAGGGCAGAACGGAGCCACCAGGGGTGGAGAGAAGAACACGGACTCCACTGCCAGCCAGGTCTGCGATTAAAATCCTTCATGCCACCCAAGGATGACACGGAGTTCTCAGGCTGTCTAAATATTTCAGTTTTAAATGCCTGGTTCAACTAACCTGTGCAGGTTGTTCAGACTTGTGCCTTTGGGTTTTTCCATCCGCAACAATGGGAAAGCTATGGTTCTAACAAAACGATGACTAAACATCAGCTGCCCATCCTGCCCCCATGACTCCCTCCAAGCCCCCTTTCCTCCTGGCTGCTGTTCCCTCCTGCTTTGTCCGTGGGTCCCCATCTGTAGCTGACCAAGGGTGGCCCTGAGCTGAACTTGACTAGGGGTGTCCGGGCAGTGGAGAGGGAGGAGAGCGTACAGCACATTTTGTCAGGGCCTGAAATTCAAAGGGTCTTCACACTTTGCTTCCTGTTCAATAAACATTGTTGTTGAAGGGTTTAGGGTAAAGCTACATAGAAAATGGCCCCCTGGACCAAGAGGTGGAAGTTAGGGGAGTGGAAGGGGGATATAAAAGGAATTGAAATGTGTTATGTACACGTACCAGCTGTGTATTATTCCTGTAAGGAATATAATCAGTATGTACTGAAAACATGTACAAATAAAAATAAAAGTTAAAAACATGGTGCTCTGGATCCCCCCTCCTAGAGGAAGCTGAAGATTAAAGGAAAAGTCACTCTGTACTGGGGAACCACTGGAGTCCTATTTAATCTGCAGGTATCCCAAGCCCGAGAAAGACAATGCTATTTTCTAATGGTTTACAATGGAAAAATAAAAACCTCTGGAAAAGAACTGACTCTAAAAGACTTAAAAAAAAAAAAAACAAACACGAACTCAACCTAGTCTTCCATCCATGGATGAACACATTAAGAAAATGTGGTGTCTGTGTGCAAAGGAATACTGTTCAGCCTGTAAGGAGGAGGAATCCCGCTATCTGTGACAATGTCCCAGAGGACACGCTACGTGAAACCAGCTGGGCACCGAGAGACAAGCAGCACATTGTGTCACATGCTTCCCCGTGGGCTCCGGGAGGGCCCAGCTCCTAGGAGCAAAGAGTGGAATGGCGGCTGTCAGGGGACTGGGAAAGACGGTCAAAGGGTCCAAGGTTCAGTTTTGCATGATGAAGACATTTTAGGGATTTAATGGACAACACAGTGGTGAATTAACAATACTGTTTCGTATACCTAAAAGTTGCCAAGAGTAAGTCTTAAATCTTTCTCACCACAGGAAAAAAAAAGAAGCAATCACCATGTAAGGTGATGGAAACATTGATTAGCTTGATAATGGTAACGATTTCATGACATACACATATATGGGGACACGTCGGGACCCTTTACACACAATTTTTATTTGTTAATTACACTTGAATAAAGCTAGGAAGAATACAAGTTTTTTAAATAAAATGTTTTTCCCATATGAAGACAAAGCACAGAAAATTACAGGTACCAGTTAGTACTTCCTGGAGTCAGCTTTCAGCTGTTTATCTAAAGTCTTGTGTGAAGCTAGGCATGGTGGTGCACACCTGTAATCCCAGCACTTGGGAGGCTGAGGCAGGAGGATCGCTGTGGGTTTGAGACCAGCCCGACTGCATAGTGAGTTCCAGGTCAGTCTCAACTACATAGTGAGACCCTGGCTCAAAAAAACAAAAAAAGTCCCATGCGAGCAAAATGATATCAACCCTCAGAGGTAAAGGAGCAAAGGAGGATCCTGCTTCCACCACAAACCCTAGACTTTCCCTCAGAGGGAAAGTGCTCCTGGCCCCATCAGTTTTTTCTTACTGGCAACCCCAGAGAAACCTCAGGAGGAAATTACTCCTGTCAGGCAGGGTTTTCCCAGTGATGGTGGACAGAAAACAAAAGTCAAATTATTTGCCACCTTTAACTTCCTACTTCCTCCTAGTGTATTGTTTTCCACAATTACCAAAGAAAAGCTTTGGAAGCCGGGCATGGTGGTGTACACCTGAATCCCAGCACTCTGGGAGGCTAAAGTAGGAGCCGAATTTGAGCCAAGCCTGGGTAACTTAGCGAGACCTTGTCTCAAAATAAGATTAAAAAAAAAGGGGGTGGTCCTCGTGATAGAGCTCAGTATGAAGCCCTCAAATTAGATCAATCCTCAGGGTCATGAAAGGAAGGAAGGAGGGAGGGAGAGAGGAAAGGAAGGAAGGAAAGAAGCAAACAAACAAGCAAGCAAGCGAGGGAGGGAGGGAAAACAAAGACAAGCTCTAGAGACTTACTGTCTTAAAAAAAGGAAAGAAAGCTTTGGGGGTTTATCATTAAAAACACATGCACACGCACGTGTACACACACACAGCCTGGGGTGCAGCTCAGCAGTGCAGCACTTGCCTTGTACGCCCAAGGTCCTGGGTTTGATTCCCCACACTGCAAAACAAAATCTAGTGACTCTCTAGAAGAACCTGAATCCCCAGTAGAATTTGCAGAAGCTGAGGGGAAAAGATTTTCAATAAAGAATTTCTAAAACTACCATGTGATTATGCAACAGTTCATTTACCTCAGAGTTCTTTTTCTTTTTCAAATGTGTTTTTGGTTGGGGGGGCAACTGTATAAGCCCTGGTTTCTGGGGCTTTTTTTGTTTGTTTGTTTGTTTGTTTATTTTAAGTCCAACCAAAAGCAAACCAGAGCTCAGCCCCACAAGACAGCAGGTTTTCTAATTAGTGGCTACGCATGAAAAGCAATATTGTTGAAGAGTTCACCCCAGGACACCCACACTGTTGGTGGATCACTTTTCCCTAAAACGAATCTGCCTTTTAAGTTTGATACGTTATCGTTGTTTGTTAAAAACTGAATCAACTCTGATTTCCCAAAGAAACTTTAAAAAAAAACGTTTTCTACAGGGCCTTTGGGATGCTTCATTTTAATATTGGTAAATGAAACTATTTTTAAGGCTCCCGGAGAGCATGCATAAAAATTGTTCAAAGAGGTGTTTTAGTCTCTCTTACAAGTTGGAAAAGCATATGGATGTGAAATGAGTTCCCAGGCAGTAGCTTTAAGGCAGTTTAGTTACAGACTGTACAGAAAGGGACAGAAACTGCGCTCCATGAGGAATGGGGCAGCTCATCTTCGGAGAAGGGTGGCAGCCCCAATAAACCACCTTCCCCTAAATGCAGGCCTTCGAGGGGCTCCCTTCCCTGGGCTGGCTCTGCGGTTGGCTTCGCATCCACAGAATGCAGCAACAGCGGAGATGAGCGACTTCCCAGGCCTGGTCCCCAGCTTGGACTTCTTTCCAGGCTTGCCTGAGGAAAGCGCTGCCAAGCAGGAAGCCTGGCTACCCAGAAACCTCCATGTTGTGAAGAGGTCCACGCTAGCCATGGAGAGAAATGTACAGAGAGGGCATGGTGAAACAGGGAGGAGGAGGCACGGCGAAGAGGAGAGCAAGAGTGAGAATGAGACCGAGAGAGAGAGGATACGAAGGAATAAATGAAGGAAAATTGACTGGCCAGCTCCCAACAACTCCAGTGGTGGCACCAGACATATTATGAAAAAGTCATCTTGGATATCAAACCCAGTGGAGCTCTGTCAGATTCCAGCCGCAGCCACCATCTTCCTGAAACTGCATGAGAGACCTTGACCATGCACCTCCTAGCTGACCCCAGTCATTGCACAGGACCGTGAGGGATGACACTGCAGGGCTGCTTCCAGCCACCACGTTCTGGGGGATTTGTTTTGCAGTAATAGGCGATTAACATAGGAAGGGAAGAGAGGACCGGAGAGGCTGAGTGAAGGAAAAGGGAAAGGGAACCTGACCATGCTAGGAAGTGAGAGATTCCTTTTAATTCTTAAGGATAAAGGTAGTGCAATGCTGGTAGGCAACTATGTACGACTAAGGAAGAATTCTGGCAAATGCGCACGGACAGATGTAGAGATAAAGGTCCCAATGATGAAGAAACGGAAGTACACAACTTTGTGTTACTTATCTTTACAACTTTGTGTTACAACTTTGTGTTCATTATCTCACAATGTGAATTGGAGCCCACTGCCTTACAGGGATATCTCCCCCCTTCTCATCTACCAAGGTGACACTGTTTGGAAGCACCCTGAACCTTCTTCTCTTTCATCCCTCATAGGGGACAGTCACCATCATCCCCATTTCCCCACGAGTCTCTGACTGATACCTACAGCCTTTACCCAGTGGTCCTCTGACCTCTCCTCAGGCCTCCAAGTTTGAGGCTCCAAGCTATACCACCTTCCTCGCTTTCCCCAGGCTACCTCAGCCACCGTCACTGAAATGTACCTGGACCTTCTCCTTTCTCTCTTTTGTCTACAGCTGAATTCACACAATGCACTTGCTGATATCTTAAAGGGACCCAGAATCAATACAATCAGGTCACTGCCTCTGTGTGCATCTTAAGAACATTATGGGAGAGTAACAATGTCTCCAATGAACTTAGCAACTCAAGACACATGATTCTGGATTGTGTAATGCCAAATCAATAAAAAGGACAGAGAAGAAGGGTGAATTTTGAATTCAGCTCTCAATACTTAATTCATTTCCCCAGGATTTCTCTTATGGGACACTCCATGTGATATACTCTTTAGTGTTGACGACATGTCAAACTGTCACACTGGCACCCCTTTTTCTCACTTATGTGATGCTGAACAGGATAAGAGTCAAAGTTTTAGTATCAGTTAAGTGGAAAAATAACGTTTTGGGATATTAAATGAGACACTATATGTGGACACATCTATATCTATACCTAGACCTTCTATATATGGCCAGTGGCATGGCCTAAGTGGTCTGTGAATGTTACTTGTGACAATCACTGGCTGTTGAGAATGTGGCTATTCTGAGCTTAGAGTATATCTTTGCCGAGTGATTCAGATTTATTCCACAGTCAGGGCCAATTAAT